TTCTGATGGGTATGTAGTGCTATTTCATTGTGATTATAATTTGCATTTTCTTGCTCTAATGAGCCTGGCCACCTTCTGTTTCTGTTTGCTGTGAAATGATTGTTGAAGTTTTTGTCCACTTTTAATTGTGTTTTGTATCTTTCTCTAATGCTTTGTAGGCATTTTTATCTAATTTTGGTACAAATACTTGTATTATAAATAGCCTTTCCGTGTTGTGAAGTTTTAAACTCTGTGAAAAACTAGAACTCTTAAGGAAATCCTATTTATCAGTTTTTATGGGCATGGCTCTTTATACCTATTTAAGAAATTGTCGTCCACTTCCATTAATAAGAAAATCTTATATTTTGGTGCATGATGTGTCAAAATTGATTTTTTAATGTTTTTATCCAATTAATCTAATACTGTTTATTGTCAATCTTGGTGCAAGATATTAAGTCCAGATTTACTTCTTTATATGGCTATCGAATCTAGCAGTATTTATTGTTAAGTTAATCTTTTTATCTTGTCTTATACAGTAATTATTTTAGTAGTATAAGTCTGGTTTCTCTATATAATTGAACCTATCTGTAGAATTACTCCTCTTTCTGTTGGTTGATGTACTTACTCATGAAAAAAGAGCACTTTTTCATGATTTGGGATTTGTTAATAATGGCAAGTCTGTATTCTCTTTTCTGGTCTCCTTTTCTTTAATTAATTAATTATTAATTTGTGAGCTAATTATTAGATAGTGAGCTAAGACCTGTGGTACAAAGTTGAATGAATGTTGTGATAATAACCATACTTGTTTCTAACTCAGGGAGTAATTTTCTTGTATTTTAGCACTAAATATGATACAGAAGCTGCAGATTTTATGCAAATACCATTTTTCAAATCAGGGAAGTTATTTCCTAGTCCTTCATTACAAATTTTTTTTTAAAATTCATGAATAACTATGAAATATTATATTTTATCTTACTCTATTGAGATAGTCCTGAAACTTTTTTTTGTTGTTGTTGTTAATATAGTAAGTTGGACTGACTGAGTTTCCAGATGTTACACCAATCTGGGATTTTGCAATCTTGGGGTATTGTTCAAGAGATTTGGATTGATGGTATATTATTTCAGATTTTTATAGCTGTATTCACAAAACACCTTCCGTTTTTTGAAATGTCCTTACTAAATTTTGATTTTCTTATTAGTTTAGTCACTTTCCCTTTCTGTGGAATTGCATTTTTGTGATTGGGAGTGCTTTTTTTTCAAGTGGCTTAAGAAATTTCTTAGTGCCGCATCTATACTGGGAACTCCCTTTATGTAAAATTTTTAAGGACAGGTTCCTTTTCTTGAACAGATATCAGGATATTTCAATTTCCTGACTTCTGGATATTAAAAAGATATTTCCTCAGGTGAAATTCCATTTTTGTTCCTCGTGTGAAGAGAGGGGAAAGGAAATCTGGAATCAGTGGCAACAGAAAGCATTGTGATTCCAAAGGAAAATTTAAATCTAGAACCACAAGAATCAGGGTTGTAGGAGGGAAGCTCCGGCCCAGGTGCACAGAGAAGGTGACCAAGGCTGGTTCTGGAGAACATTTCCACAACATTGATAGACTGAACCACTGGGTCAGCAAAGAGGATGCATAGCAGGTTGTTTTTTTTCCTGTCCTCTTCCTTGAACTGTAGGGAAGCAATCAGAAGAATGTGATGGGGAAGGAGTGAAGTATAATCACACAGGAGCAATGTCACCAGGAAATTGCCAATGGTATACATATGGAAATAGTACAGCTTTAGTAGGCAACAGATTATTTATAAAACCTTAGTACAAGAGGATAAACATGTAGCAAGGCCAGATTCATACAATAGAAGAGACTCAGAATCACATTGAATGATTTTTTATGAGAAGTTTAGAAAAAAACTAGTGAACAGACATTAGACTTTGACTTTTTTTTTGAGGGAGAGTGGGATGTACCAGGGATTGAACTCAGGGGAGCTCCACCACTGAGCCACATCCCCAGCCCTATTTTGTATTTTATTTAGAGACAGGGTCTCACTAAGTTGCTTAGTGCCTCGCCATTGCTGAGGCTGGCTTTGAACTCATGATCCTCCTGTCTCAGCCTCAAAAAAGTCTTTGGCTATTTTTGGTTAAAATGGTTGCATATTTCAAAGAGAAAAATCCAAGACCAGTACAGTGATTTTCTGTTCTGTCCTCACATTCCTCAATGTCAATGTTTCAGTACACCTGCATTTAAAACATTGCTCTGCTTCCCATCTTTGTCTCCTTGTCTCTCTCTCTCTCCTTTCTTTCTTTTTTTCTTCTACCACCTTTACCACCTGACTTACATATGTCTGTATCACAATGCTATAAATGTCGCTGTCCACAAGGCAGGTAGCATACAGGTATGTTTATGTTTTTGATGTACTAATTGTAGGATTTCGGCTCCTCCAAACACAATTATGCCTCATTCATTGAAGTCACCTGTTGTCTATGATTGCCTGAACTAGATGCAGAATATATATATATATATATGTATATATATATATATATATATATATATCATACACACACAGGTACTGGGGATTGTCTCTATATAAATAAGCTATATCACCAGTCCTTTTTTGTTTTTATTTATTTACTTATTTTAATTTTGAGTTGAAGTCTCATTAAATTGCTAAAGATCTTGCTAAGTTGCTGAGGTTGACCTCCAACTTGTGATCCTCCTGTCTCATCCTCTGCAGTTTTTGGGATTACAGACATGTAAATAATCTGGCTGATCCAGATTATTTTTGCACAGCAGTGGAAGGAATGAGACACTTTTCATCCTCCTCTCCTTTGGATAAGAACATAGGTGCAGATAGAAAAAAATTTGTGTTCACGGAAAGTCTAAACTGGGAGTTGGAAAAGGCTTTGCTTAAAATTTTCTTTGGGTTCAGTGTAACACTTCATATATTAGTTTGCTGGACATGGAGTCAGGAGGAAGGAAGAAGATGTGTGGGTGAGGATCATGGAGAGTGCAATAAGAATTCAAATTGTGAGAAGACTTGCTCAGTAGAGGGCACACATAGAACATCCCTCACAAAGTGTGATTTCTGTATGTGCATGTGTGAATTGATAACAATATTGTTAAAAATATTGTAAAACTAATCTTGCTCAGCACTATAATTTTATATGAAGATGATCTGGCCAAATAGAGTGATCTACTTACATCATACATGATCACTCTTCTTAGAGAGTTGAACAAAGGACAGTAAAACCTGAGCCCTGCACCTTACACTCCTGCTGAGTGGAGTATTCTCTCTTAAACTGGTGCACAATACAATCTGACATAATATTAACCTCTGACTATCCAGACTCTCTAGATGTGGCAATGTACGTCAATAAAGATCCTGGTTTAGTCCACAAGTTCTTAAGTGAACTGTGTTCACTCCATCATGCAAACACAAATCAGAGAAAAATAATGAATATAAACACAGAAAATTTTGCAGTGAAAGACAAAATTTATTGAAAAGGAAACATTTTTTTCACATATAATCTGGTAGGCTAAATAAGTGATAAAACAGCAATATCAAATATGAACATTTTTACAAATGGGGAGGTGTTACATGCAACTTTGGTTGTTCAGGTTGAAGCAAACTGAATATGAAATGCTCCTTTGGAAGGTGAAATCGTCTAAGGTAATAATTTTATGCTTGGGAAAGAGAAATAAATTAATCTATTAGAGGAATCTTGGAAAGATAGTGAGGAAGCATAGGAGGAAGAGATGTACTGACTGAGTGGTTCTGGAAGTTTCTCAGTAGAATCCATATGACCAATAAGATGGGCGACAACAGCCATATCTGTATCTGCCCCAGCCATAGCCGCAGCCATAGCCCAGGCCACCATAGCCATAGCCCAGACCAGCATAGCCACAGCCCAGGCTGCCATAGTAGTTGTTGTAGTAGCACATGGTATCAGGAGTGGGAGTTCAATAGAAGAATAGAGAATTATTCTTCTTGCTTGAAATGTCATCTTCCTTAGGCACAGAACCTTTTATACACAGTCAGGAATGGGTGGGGTAAACCACAGTGATGGCTGTCACATAATTTAAATAGTTCCCGTAAGAAAAATTTACTGAATTTTTTGTTTAGTTAGGAAAAGAGAGTCTTTCATAAGTAAAATTACTTTGCTATAATACCAAGCATTTCAAATTTAAATGACATGATTCTATAAGACATTCCTCATTTATTTTGAAAAACAATTACTCTGTGTGATTAACTTCAGTTCCATTCTCAGTTTATCTTTCTATCCCTATTCTCAAGTAGCATGAAGAATTCGAGCCCAAGTATTACATTTCCAGAAGTGAGTTACAAACAAGCTTCCACCAGGAAGAAGGACGTGATTGTGATTTTGAAGACATTGGAAGCACTGGATGTCATCTTGAGTCTCTGCTTCACCAGACAAAGTGACATCCCCATTATCAAGTTCACTTTGGTTTTATGTCAGAAAGACTTCTACATGTGTTTTTATAGTCATTTGTTTTCCTATTATTATTATTTTTTTTTAGTCAGTGAGAGGGGTTACTAGAAATTTTACCCAGGGACAATTTATCACTGTGTCATGTCTCTGGCACTTTTAATTTTTAAATTTTGGACAGGGAATCACTAAGTTGTTTAGGGCTTCACCAAATTGCTGAGGCTGGCCTTGAACTTTTGATCTTCCTGTCTCAGCTGGGATTACAGGCCTGCACCATTATGTCTAGCTGTTTGTCTATATTTATTGTCTATTTTGTCCACATTTATTTAATTAAAACAATGTGTCCAAATTACCTGATATAACATAAAGCATATAATCTATTTTCCTATTCTGTATATGTTGACTTGTTTTCTGAAAATAGCTTCAATTTCTCAAAAGGCAGTGTTAGAGTTTGTTTGTGAATTAATGTTTATGTGGAAGGAAAAAGAAAACTGGACTTCACAAAGGGAACATTTCTTTAGGATACATTTCTGAGTTTTACTGTGTGTATACTTAGCATTTTTCGGTGCTGACCTAAAAACACAGTTGCCACTGGTATTATAACAATGACAAACCCCAAAGGAATGTTGGCAAGATCGAGGCTCTGATACTTCTCAAAATTTCTTGGTGTTTTCAGTTTCTAACATTAGTGATTCTAAGAGATATGCAATCCTGCTTCTTTGTGGCTATAATTTGCATTTCCTTACTTTAAAAAGGTTGACTGTAGCTTGTTTCATTTGTTGTAAAACCCTTGTGCAAGTTTCTGGTCATTTTGAATCTGTGTTTTCTTTCTTTTTTCCAGTGATTTGTAGATGTATTTATTTATTTTTGCTACAAACCATTTTTAGATGTATATTCTAGATATCTTCTTCCCATTAGTGGCTTTTTAGTTTTTCAAAAAAAAATCCTTAATTTTGAGGAAATCCAATTTCATAATATATTCTTTCAAAACTAGTACTCTTTATATCCTATAGAAGATATCATCTCTCACTTCACATTAACAAATTCATTGCTGCATTTATCTTGAGGTGGTTATTAGTGAAGTCTTTCTTATATGTTTATCGAAGTAATCCAACTTTAATTGTTGTTGAACCAATATTTTCATCTTCAGTACTGGATTGATAGCTTTGTAGTATAAATATGATTGACACATATGTCTGAATCTGCTTATAAAATCTCTCTTCTTTCTGATGGTCTAAGTACTTATTTTTGAACCAGGACTACCTATTTACCACATAGATAATATAATTATTAATACTGTCATGTCTGTATTTCATTCCTATTATTCGTGCTATATATTGATGTTTGCATTTATTTATGTTTTTGTTGACTAGGACTTGTGGTACAAAATGAATGACAGTTGACTTGTAGTCATGCTTATCTTTTTCTTGACTAAGAACATCCTTGATCTTTAACGTAAGTGTGATGTAAAAACTATAGATTTTATATAGGTACCACTTATTGAAGTGAGGAGATTATTTTCTAGTTCTACTTAACTGATTTTAAAAAATCAAAAATGAGCCCAAATTAATAAAGAGAAGCAAGAACAGATAACTAGAATTATATCAAACAAAAAATGTATTCCCTTAAAAGAAAATAATCAACAAAATGAAGAATCCTACAGAATGGAAAAAAATACATGGAAATTATTCACCTGTCAAAGGATTAACATCTAGCATATATAAGGAACTAGAAAAACTGAATAAAAAATAATAATCCAATTAAAAATAGGCAGATGGTTCAAACAGACATTGCTAAAAAAGAGAAATACAATGGACAACAGAGACATGAAAAGATTCTCAATATCATTGGCCATTTGAAAATTGAAAATCAAAACCACAATGATATCATTGTACCCCAGCTATAGTAACTGCTATTAAAACAAACAAAAAACAACAAGAAGAAAAACAAAAACAAAAAAACCCACAACTAACCAAATACTGGTGAGGTTGTTGAGAGAATGGATGGAATGTAAATTATTTCAGCCTTTATGGAGAATAAGAATGGATGTTCTTCAAACAACTAAAAATAGACCTCACACATAATCCAGCTATCTCATTGTTGGATATGTATCCAGAGGAAATGGGATCAGCATACCAAAGTAATACTTGCATTCCCAAGTTTATTGCAGCATTATTCACAATATTTAAGATAGGTAATCAACCTAGAGAGCCATTGAGATATGAGTGGATTAAAAATACGGTACATATACAAACATGATGGAAGATTATTCAGCCATAAAAATAATAAAGTTCTGTCGTTTCCAACAAAGTGGATGGAAATGGGAGACATTAGGTGATGTGAAAGAAGCCAGACCAAGAAAGACAAATACTGCATGTTTTCTCACATATAGAAGTTTTAATAAAAGAGGTGGGTGTGTATCTGAATGTAGACTATTGATTACTAGAGGCTGAAAAGGAGAGTGGGGAGGAAGAGAGGAAATGGGGAAATGGAGGTAGAATAGAAATAGGGTTCAACAACACAGAAGGAACAAATTCTGGTTTTCCATAGAGCAAAGGTTGATTATAGTTTAAAACAAACTATTATATATATTATGAATTGATAACAATGATAACAACATTATATACAATATATAATATTATATATATTATGAATTGATAACAATATTAATCCTCACCCACACATCTTCTTCTTTCCTCCTGACTCCATGCCCAGAAAACTAATGTATGAAGTATTACATTGAGCCCAAAGAAAATTTTAAACAAAGCCTTTTCCAACTCCCAGTTTAGACTTTCCACGAAAGAAGCTTGAAGTTTCCAAATATAAAAAAAACAACAGAGTGAAGGGAATGATAATGACCCTGATTTGATTATTGCATGTTTTATGTATCCATTGACATATCACAATATACTTCATTAATATGTACTTCATTAATATGTATGATTTTTATATGTCAAAAAGTTGACAAATGGATACTGACTTTCTCATGTTTTGTTTTAATCTATTGAGAAGTTCACATATTTTTTTCCTTTTTTACTAATGCTATGATTGCACTGACTGAATGTCTATGCATTAAGCCAATCTGGAATTTTACAAAATTGGAATGTAGCTTTTAAGGCTTGGTTGATAATACATAGTTTAAGGTTTTATAACTATATTAACAAAATGTACTCCCTGTCTTGTAATTTCCTTGTTAAAATTTTATTTTATTTTTTTAGTATGTTTTGCCCTTTTCCAATTATGTTGATGAGTACTGGTATGATTGGTAGTACTTTTTTATTCAGTTTTCTAAAGAATTCTGCAGTGAAGACATCTGAATATAGAGTTTCCTTTGCATGAAATTTTAAATGACACAATTATTGTCTTTAATTGCTATCTGCTATTTGAATTTTCTTTTTCTTTATGTCTATGTTACTTGAATGTTATTTCCTCAGATTAATTTCCATTTTCCCACTGTTTCCTGTATGAGCAGGGGTTGAAGCAGATTTGGAGTTAGTGAGAAAAGGTGACATGATTTCTAAGGAAAAGTTGGGCCCACAAATACAAAAAGAATCAGTGATAAAATAAGGAAGCCCTAATTCCCATGTGCAGAGAAGGTGGCAAGGGCTCTCTGTTGTGGACTTTTTGCACAAGATTGACAGCAGGCATCAGCAGTCAGGAGGCATGGCTGGTTTGCTCCTCTCATTTTCTCTGAACTATAGTGGAGCAATCACAAAATCACAATAATGTGATGTGGAAGAAACTAATTGCAATCAAACAGAAGTACAGTGCTATGTAAAAATTACAATTTTATGTATATATATATATATATATTCATTTATATGTACATACATATGGCAATAGTGCTATTTTGGTATGTAATTCATCATTTAAAACTATAATGTATAAAGATGATGACCTAGCCAAGTCAGATGTAAATAATAAGACTGGCAGAGTCATGTGAAAGCATTTTATATCAGCAATTTAGACAGAACTGGCTAGTACACATTAGCTTTTGTATTTTCCCTTTTAAATATTTTGTATAATTTATGTTGAAATATTTTGAAGAGAAAAGTGTAAGACCTGCAAAAGAATTTACGTGTCTTCTGCTCTCCAATTTCATAAAATCTAGTGTTTCAGTAGCTGTACATTATACCATCTCTCGTTTCTATCACTATTTCTATCTCCATCTTTGCCTCTCTTTCTATATTATTGTCATGTGTTGAGATATTTGTATGATTGTTTCTTTTTCCATTAATTTTATGAATTGAACTGTCTGAATTTCCAGATAATTAAACTAACCTGAGATTTTGCAAACTTGGTATACAGCTCCACAAGCTTAGTTAGACAAGCCTTCTACTGTCTCTGACATCTAACTTCTATTAGGCCTAACGTCTTGCTTAATCCTCCATGTATCTCATTCCTGTAAGTGCCACAGTCCCTGATAGGCATTTGGACATGGCAGTTCTAGGAATGGGACACTTCCAAAAGAGTTTTGCCTCAATATTGGAATCA